CCCTCTCTCTCTGTCTCGGTCTCTGTCTCTGTCTCTGTCTCTGTCTCTGTCTGTCTGTCTGTCTCTCTCTGTGTGTCTTTCCCTTCCTCTCCTCTCCTCTGTTACTCCTTTTTCCCTCCCCTTTTCTCCTTCTGTCTTCTCCAATTATTCTCATTTCCTTTACTTTTATTATTAGTTTTCTTTTTTTCTTTCTGACTTATTTTCTTGTCTTTTCTTGATGCAGGTGTTTCATAGCATTCAACTGCCATAAAGCTTTCTTTATTTTTTGAAAACTGAACCATCTATTTAACCGAAGATGAAAATGCTATTGCTGGTCAGCCATCTCCTGCTAATCTCTGTCATGTCCTGTCTAGGAGGTAAGAACAAGCCTTTGTATACCTTCCATAAATTATGTGAATATAGTCATTCTGTTTTTACCCTGAATACTTTCATGTGAAATTAGAACTTATATCTTCAAATGACATCTGGGTTGGGTCATAGTAGTAAATAAGATTGACATTAATTTTATTTTTGTTTTCAATGAAGATTTTGTAAACTTTGGCTTACTTTCTGTACTAAAATGCTCGTAAACCTGTAAGCTTTGTATCTCTTGAAAAGGAAACACTTAGTATGTCACAGAATGGTCAATTTTAACTTAATTTATGTAGCTTTGGAAAAGACAGGCATCATTTCTCCCAGCTCCCTACAATTGAATGAACTTTAGAATCTTAATAATAGTAAAATATAGTAAGAAATTTAAAAAGTAACATTTTAAATGTCTTTCTCTTTTCTCTAGTACAGCTTGTTAATTAGCATTAAATTAAGTGTATATAACTGTGTCTAATAGCTGATTCACAAAATTTCTAAAAAATAATAAATACATAGCTATTATGAGTATCCAGCAAAACATTGAATCGGATAAATCTTTCATTTGCTTACTCCACTTTAGTAAATAGTATCCAAATATTCTATGAAGTCTATAGGCATATAAAGAATAGCATAGCAAATTTGAACTTTCAGCAAAAAGATCATGTTTCTCTCTTTCAGAGGAAATATGAAAGTTCAGAGATATTTCCCACAAGCATAGACACATATTTCTAATGGCAGTAGTATGTTTCCTAATAATCTTTTCCCCCTCAAACCTCCATCTCAACAACAATGGTAAATATACATAGACACAAGAATGATGATATACATGCACATATGTGGAAATATAATGTGTGCTGTGTATACAGTGCATAAAAAGAAATCTTAAATAGCTGTTGACATCTTATTATAAATGAAATAAAAAGTGTTTATTAGTCTCCCAAATTCATACTAGTTCTATTGATTATGAACATTAGTGCCACCAGTATATAATGTAAAAATAATTAAACAGTATTCACACAGATGTATTAATTATTATTATTATTATTATTATTATTGTTATTATTATTATTATTATTCATTAATCCTTGGTGTGAAGACTATTTTCTGACAGTTCATTGATTCTTTGACCATGTTTAAAAGCACACCTCAAAGAATTACTTGACATAAAATTTGTCATTTTTTTTTTTAGAGTTCACATGGCACAGAAGATATGGTCATGGAGGTAAGATTTAAATAGTTTTTATTGTAAAAAATCATAATTGATTTCTGCTTTAAGGTGTGATAACTCTAAACTTCAAGGCAAAAGATTACTGTTAGAAATCCTCTAAGGCATTTTTTTTCTGAGATCATTAAACATGTTTTTTGATTGTTGAAAGACAACACACACACAGACAAAGTCATTTGGGTAGATGAAAACTAATCAGTGTGGTCTCCATTTTGTCTTACATGCTTTGTAACAAAGCAGTGCTGTGACATTTGAATTGGTGTTTAAAGATTGCTTAACTTTTTTTTTTTTTTTGCAAGTCTCTTGTTTGCTTCAAGAGAAAGAACTCAAGATTTGAAATCCCAAGATTCAGTACAATTAGAAGCAGACAGATGTTAGACAATTCAGTGCTTGAGATGTAACAACCACGCTTGCTGCTGTAGAGTCTCCCATGATTACTAGTCCCTCTGAAACGCAGGCAGTCAAAAGAAGACCAACTTGGATCTTCCTCTCCAGCTGGAACTCGGAGGCTAAGCTTGCGTTTTTTACATAAATTAGTCAACTCCTGTTAGCTTCTGGTTTTAAATGGGAAAATCACAGGGTTTCTTGCTGCAAGAAGCCCACAAAGAACACAGCAAATGCAGCTGATGCTGTGACTGGTGGACTTCGTGCTCAGTGACTGGTAACTGCTAACTCACTAAAGCCACTGTGTCATGACAGAATGCAAGGCCAGGAGGACATCCAGTGTGACAGCCTCTATGCCAAATCCAAATGATGCCATTCAGAATGAGAATGATTTCCACTTGGAGGCTTAAGGAACAGAAGGACAAGAAATTAGCTCAAATACCACCAAAGCCATTTCTCCTCTCACCTCATGAGCTGGGAATCACTACATGCAGATTTTATAAAGATCAGTGGCATAGCTTCCTAGACTTCCTGAGCCTTATCATAAGTAGAAAATATGACAAGGTAATACTTCTTTAAGAAAGCAATTGAAGTATGCTTCAAAGTAATTATTTGACGATTCAAAGTATAGTTAATAATGGAAGTTGAAAATAAGGAAGCCTGAAGTATTTTAATATTCAGAAGTAGCACAAATTCTAAATAAACAAGGTAACTGATAAAAAGGTATTTAAAAAAACACTTGTAATTTCTGTAGGACATTAACAGGAATTTCATTATAAAGTACTTTATTGTCAAATAAGCCATTGGAAACTCTGCTGCAGAGTAAAGCTTAATGGTTTATATTTAATTGTGGTTAGATTTATAGTACTAAAAAAGTGCAGGCATTTCAACGCACTGGCATAATAAAACACCTGGAACTCAGTGACTAAGAACATCCATTTATTTTTCACATCTCTAGAAAATAGAACCCAAGCTCAAGGTGTTAGCAGGGCTGTGGTGCCTTGGAACATGCATAACCCTTGCCCCTTTCAGTTGCCAGTAGCCCCAAGTTCTCCTTTGGTTGTGAAGGCATAGTTCCAGGGTCTGCCTCCAGCTGCTGGAACTTCTCCCCATGGCTCTTAATAGTAACCTTCTGTCTGAGCATGCCAAAGTGCCCACTGCCCCATGCATACTATTTTGTAAAACGAGTCTCTGAAGAGAAATATATATATATATATATATATATATATATATATATATATATATATGTTCCCAAGCCCAGCCAGCATCCAGCTGATATTCACCAAGGACCCTTTATCTATGTTAAATTTGCATTTGTGACTCTTCACTTCAGGTGGAGTCCTGAGACTGCCCAGCAAATCCTGAATTTCCCAGCACACCCATTTCCCTTCTCCTTAGTCATGTCTCAGGCCACCTCACTCCCTATACCTCTAAAATCCTTGTGCATTCTGACTTTCAGATGTCAGATTTTATTCCTATTACATAGGGAGATTAGAAATGATGAGAAGACAGTTCCACAGGCTCCTCCTACATCACCTACTCACTGCTCACATCTGCACCAGTGTACCCTGCTGCCATTTGTAGGGCTCACCATACCTGCCCTTCTCTTATGCAGTACATGTGTTTCATCTAGTCCACTTAACCTGTAGTCACAGAAAATGTCCCTTCTCTCCGCATTGCCAATTTCTCCTTCTTTATGGATATTACTCTCAACACACATACATTCCCTGGGGGTGAGGGGAATCCCAGCATTTGAGAGGCATAGAGGTAGGTGAATGTCTGTGAGTTTAAATCCAGCCTTGTCTACATAGAGAGTTCCAAGATAACCAGGGCTACATAGAGACACACTGTATGACCAAACCATTAATAACAATAATAAATAATAACAATCCTGTCATTTTCAAACTCTATACTTAATATCCTATGTATTCCATCTACTTGACAGCAATATAACAACAAAAATGCTTTTGCCTATGATGGCTCTTTTTAATTCCTTTACCTAGCTTCCCCTTTGAATATAGCAAGCTTTAACATGAGTAATCAACCATTGCCCCTTTGCCACCCATGATGAACAAATGGTTAATGCAGTGAGCCACTCCCCAGCTTCCCCTCAAGTGTACAGCTGGGCTATCCCATATAGGAATAACAGCATTCTAAGTAAAGAGGGGCATTTTTCTTTTTTATCCACCTCTTTTAAAATAAGAGAATCTTTCCCAGACTCCTCTGAAAGAAATGCCATGGCCTGACTTGGTCTGGGTCCTCTCTAGCTATAGTAAACTATACCTTTGGGGTGCATCAGGAATGAAGTGGCCTGGGAATATTCCCAGACATGTCTTGAAGTTTATGAAATGGCTTGAGGTCCCAAGGAGGCTAAAAAGACATGATGTACTCACCCTGTGACATAAAGCTAAGCAAATAATTCAGTCTCTATATCCTGATTTGCTAATCCAATCCTCACCATCCTTTTAAAAATTGAATTTATGCACACCTGTGACAGGAACTCTCAGTGTTGCATTGTTAGGGATGGTAAATTAGTGCAATGTTACTTCTTACCCATTGACCTAAGTGATAGAAGTATCAGAGTATTCAAAACCAAGTCCTAAGCATAGTGATTGTCTCAGTGAAGGACCAATACTATGGAGAATTTTGTGCTCAGCTATGTAACTTTTGCCTCATCTAGGTAGTTCATTCTACTTCAAGACAGCTTAAATCACTTCACTCTTGGCTCCATAACAAGAGATATTGTAAATATTGTAAGAATTTTAATAACAGACTTTTCAAATTTTGATGCCATTGCTTTATTTCGTAGTATATTTTTCTTAGACTCATCTGACAACATACTTATGCAAAATTGTGTTTAATAACAGATTGAGATGACATATTTCAGAACGAAAAAAACTGGAATCTGTCTCAAGACAGATAGAAAAGCTACTAAAAATAACTCTCAAGCACAAACTGCAATCTTACTTTCAAGCTCTAGAAATAAAACCAAATAGCAAGATTACAGAGGACTGTCTCCACAGGGTTTGAAAAGTGTAAGGATACTATTTTAGCACACGCCACTGACTGATTGTGGAGTCTCTGAACATAAAAAGCCCACTGAAGGAGCAGCAGTAGCATTTGATTGTCTTTTATTTGCAGATTTTACTTCAGATATGCATGTGTGATCTTTTTCTTTCTTATTAACATTTCTAACCAAATTTGCTAAAGTAATCACTTCTAAGGTAGAGTTAAGATAGCTACATTAGATAGAGGAAAGTGAGAGATTTTGTTAAAATGAGTTTGTATTTTAAAAACAAAAACAGATCAAAAGAAAATGTGTTAATTAAACCTTCAAGAGACCTGAGATGTTTCCTCCAACTTTGTTCCTCCTCCTGCCTCCCACCCCTTCCTCCATAAAACTTCCAAAACATCAAAAGCTTTCACCTGGATCTTCTCACTATTAGAACCGCAAGAGACAGACACCTATTTCTGCAGGCTGAGTATAGAGCTGCCTTCACAGCCCATCCTGAGTCTCATGCAGAAGGATCTTCTTTCTCTGGGTCTGAGCACTCCTGTTGAGTTAGGGTCCATGGAGTCACAATATTGAGGGATGGGGTTAGGTTCCTGCTGAGGGTGACAATGGGAGGCAAAGACTTGAAACAGTAACTGCTGTTCTTAAGGGCTGGTTTCAGTTCCCAATTAACATGTGAAGAATCATCCATAAGCTTCACAGGGGATCCAATCTTACCCAGTGCAGAAAATTTTAGACATGTAAGCAACGTGTATTCATTAAAAGTATAACCCTATCCTGAAAACAAGAAAACGTTTTAAATGTGATCTTTCTGCCATATGAAAATTAGTTTAGCTTCATTATGTTGTCTCTCTAAGGTTTCATATCTGGCCCTATAGAAGTTAGAAGCTAATGGAGGGTTAGAAAATATACAGACATCATTTGCACAAAATATTGCTATTAAGAAGAAAAAAATGCAACAATATTTTTGTTTGACCTATAGAATTTTAACTATAAATTCTTTAATATTTACATAAGCTCTTTGCATAATTGACTTCATATATACACACACACATAAACACACACACACACACACACACACACACATATATATATATATATATGTATGTATAATGGTTCATACATCACAAAAGGTTAAAGCCTCACTCCTGTTAGGAGGTGATATTTCTTTCAGGCAGTATCTCAGAGGCTGATGTTAGAGAAAATAAAAACCGCTGTGCTGCTTGAGTTAAACCATTTTTATAAAGCAAGCTCAGAACCCTGAGTGGGCATGTCACATTAACAAATGATGCTTCTAGGGGATAGGTTACATTCAATCAAGTTGTCAGCAAAAGGGGCAACATGGGAACCCCACAAACAAGCCAGGCTTGGATTGCCAAGGGTATGGATTGTTCTCCACAAATTGACTGAAGACAGAACATACACAAGTCATTGACATGGAGAAGTTGAGCTGGTGCCTATCTAGAGCCATTACCCCAACATGGCTTCATGGTACTGGAAGGTGCTCTACATGCTACCAAAGGATAAAAGTAAACACAAATTCAGCTCCAAATCCTTTCATTTACAACAATGGCCTGCCCGAAAGATACATTGGTCAAATAGTGGCACAAAGCTTGTGAGAGAAACCAAATCTGAATGGATTTAAGGCACACTCCATGAAATGAAACCCATACCAACATTGATTGGGTGGCCAAGAAAGAACCTGAGATTAGATCAGTCAGGGACCTAGGGAAAAACCAAATACTAGTGTTCAACTAAAGGAATATAGCAAAAATATAGCTCCTAATAACATTCTGCTATACTTATAGATCAGTGCCTTGCTATGGCATCATAGAGAAGTTTCCTCCTGCAAAATATAGGAACAAATACAGAGACTCACATCCAAATAATACGTATGAGAGACCTTGGGACACACAGTCTTTGGATGTCTCCATCAAAACCCTTTCCTCGGGGATCAGGGAACTCTGGAACAAAGGAGACAGAAAGTGCGTAAGAGGCAGTGGGGATGGAAGACACCATGCAAACAAGGCCTTCTAAACATAGCAATCCAACAACCATAAACTCACAGAGACTGTGGCAGCATACACACGGCCAGCACAGGTCTGCACCAGAAAGGATCCTAGAACTGAAAGAAATGGATACATACTCCCATCCCTAACCAAGAAGCTGACTGAAATTGATAACTACTTGCAAATGAAAAATTAGTTTTCTGCAAGTGAGTTTCACTCTTAAATGCAGGCCCCAGCCAATACAAAACAAACTCAACGGCAGTTTTGGACGTCCTCTATCTTATAATGTTGAGTCAGAACATTCTCTTTTTTATTTATTTTATATATTATTATTATTACTATTATCTTAAGGTCCTTTGTGAATATATTATAGATTTTGTGTATTTGAGATGCTTGTGTGTGTCTTCGAGCTACATGCATTACTTGTGCCTTTCCTTTGGCTCTTTTTCTCCTCTTTGTTTTCCTTTGTCTTGTGCTGATTTGTTTTTGTTTCATTTTATTATGTTCTATTTTATTATTATCTCTTAGATGCCTGTTTGTTTTCTAAGGAGAGATGGAAAGGGTGTGGATCTGGGGAAAGAGCTGGGAGGAGGCAGGGACTGCTGTAATTTTATTTATTTTAAATAAAAGGGGTGAAAGAATAAGCTGGGGTATCCTGACACGATGGTACATGCCTGCCATCCTGGTACCCAGGAAGTAGAGACAGGAAAATCTGGAGGATGAGTTCAGCCTGGGCTATATGAGACCCTCTTAAATAAATAAAAACCAGAAACAAAGGCAAAACAATAACAACACCACAAGATGAAGAAGTGAACCATGGCCTGCTTCTATTGGAGCCATAGCAGTGACTTCAGGGAAGAATTTCCTGCCTTTAAAGGCACATGGTTCACCATTGATGGGGAATGTTCAGGCTGAGAAGGGCGGCAGGACCTGCTGGGCCAGAAAGTTCATGTTACACACCACTAACTCATTCAGAGCATATGGCTCTTAGCTGGAGTAGGTGGATGATGCTACACTACATCATGCAAGGGACTCCTGCCTCTTCAACCTTTCCTTCGGTTTCATTTTTTTTTCCTTCCAGAACGATAGACTCCCAAGACAAGTGCTGCCCAAACTGGGTACTCATGATGGGTTTCAAACCAGTTAGTTCATAAACTCTGATACTCAAAATTTGTATGTGTGTCATCACAGATGATAGATGAGTATGAATCCTGGTCACACGTTCAGGAAAGAAAACAATCAAAAGTAAATAATCTCCCCTGGAGCATTCAGGAATTCACGTATTGCTTCATTTTTTCTTATCTTCTAAAATCTTTAAAGCACCTTTGCATTCTAGACCACTAGGCAGCTGGGTAGCAAGTGATTAAAGAAGCCACCTATCTCCAATCACTGCCAGTGTGGTGACATAGAAGGTTGCATCAAAAGTCAAAGTAGGGGTGGTATGTCCCACAGCCTGAGTTGGGAACCCACAAAAGAGGGTCATTTAGAACAGGAAGGATGGGAGGCAGCCTGCTGAAGGAATAAATGCTAAATGTACAGACTTTGATAAGAAAGGTAGGGTGATGATTTTGGAAGGTAGAAAAGCTCAAAGCTCATACAAAGACCAGGAGGCATGAATGTGCGTGCATATGCGCTCTTGTGTACGTAGAGGGAACTGTACAGAGATAACTGACAAATGTACTTTTACAGAAACAATGAGAGATGGGCAGAAAAGAAGGACTTTTGGTACAACCAATTTTTTTTTTTACTTACCAAGTGGTACACTATAAAATCATCTTGTTTTTGTTTCAGTTTCTGAGGAGGACAAAGGATTTGGACCCATTTTTGAAGAGCAACCAATCAATACCATTTACCCAGAGGAGTCACTGGAAGGAAAAGTTTCACTCAACTGTCGGGCACGAGCCAGCCCATTTCCAGTTTACAAGTAATGCACCCCACTGCTCTTTTCAGAGGGAGGTCAAGGGTGGCAGAGTGCAGGTGGCACCTGTGACCTCAGATCTGTAGAAATATCTCTTAAGACAGGTCTGTGAGGTCCATGGACATCGACTCAAATATTGGCATATCCATTACTGAAAATGCAATATGTTATTTATATACATGTAGTTTTTAAAATATATGTAAGAATTTATTTATACACAGGCTATACAGGTAGATTTGATAGTATCTAATGAGCTGATGCTTTCAAACAGAAAAAAGTGTCACATAAAAACATTATATCTATATCAATATATAATCATTTTGTATGTACTGTCCTTGATAACTCAAATCTATTAGTGGCTGATAATATTTCCATATTAACTACATTCCAAAGTTTGCATAGGCAATCCCTGAAAGTGTTACTTTTTTTAACTGATCTCAGATCTCTATCCCTGACAAGTCAGACAGTTTCCTGCAGCACTAGGATTCAACCCTAACACTCATGTATGTGAGGCAAGCTCTCTGCCACTGAGCCATATTTCCAGCACAAAAATATGTCTTAGCCAGGTGATGGTGGTGGCAGCGGCAGAGCACACCGTTAAAACCAGAACTCAGGAGGCAGAGGCTGGAGGATCTCTGTGAGTTTGAGACCAGCCTGGTCTACAAAGCAAGTTCCAGAATATCCAGGGCTACACAGAGAACCCCTGTCTCAAAAAACAAAACAAAACAAAAAATGTGTCTTGAACATCTGAATGGTGAATGAGAAACTATTTCTGTGTTCCTGGGTTACTTCTTTATGTGCTATCATAAAAACTTGGTAAGAGGTAAAACTGGGTTTCTCTGCTACAGATAGTTTACAAAATTGTGCCAACAATTTAATTTGATTCAAAAACTAAAAGTAAATAAATGCCAGTGAATTTGAATTTATTTTGAGAGGTGTTTTCATGAAAGAAAAACCAGTTATGGGAAAATGGAACTTCAGGGGACAATTGTCACCTGACTTAATTGAAGTATATCAATTAATAATTAAGTGTTTGATATTAGGCTTTCCTCCTACTATAAAACAGCTTTCTATTGTTATAAAAAGTTATTACCAGGAAAAATAGCCCCTTCCCACCACTTAATTATAATTGTGTTCATTTTCTCTTGCCTCTGGCCATAATTACAAGATTACACTAAAATAAAATATGAATTTAGATATAAAATCACCATCCTTCTGACATTATTTTTATGGCTTCAATTTCATGCATGGGAACACAATATAAATTATAGATAACACATTGTTTTAAAAATTATTTGGTTAGTAGACTAACTGCAGTTGCCTCTGCACACAGTTATGGCCATGGGCTGGCATCAGTGACAGGTTGTAGAGATTTATACAAGAAATACTTACAGAAGAAGATGCTAAAGATTAACTTAGATACATTGACTTGACCATGTGAGTTAAGCACAGATGCTGGAACAAAGCACAGATGTGATGGTTTGTAAAGGAGCCTCCAGATAGTGTGAAAATCTCAAGCCTATTTCAGTGACACAGAGTCTATCATTCCATCCTCCACAGCAGCCTCCAGAGTGTCTTGGAGGCAACCAATCAGATGGTGCTGTGCTCAGTGTTTCCCCATACAGATGCAATAGGAATGAAATGTAATCTGGCTTGTTAACTGTGTCCTTTGCCTTACAGAAGCTTCTCAGTTTCAGGAGGTCCTATTTATTAAATGTTGATCTCAGTGTCTGTGCTACAGGTGTAAGGTTCAGGAAGTTGTCTCCTGTACCAATTCATTCAAGGGTACAATTCATTCATCCCACTTTCTTTTCTAAGAGGTTCAGTGTGGCTGGATTTATGTTGAGGTCTTTGATCCATTTGAACTTAAGTTGTGTGCATGGTGATAGACATTGATCTATCTGAAGTCTTCTACATGCCAGCATCCAGTTATGCCAGCACCATTTGTTGAAGATGCTTTCTTTATTCCATTGTATATCTTTAGCTTCTTTGTCAAAAATCAGGTGTTCGTAGGTATGTGTGTTAGTATCAGGGTTTTCAATTCGATTCCATTGGTCTATTTGTCTTTTTTTGTTCCAGTACCAAGCTGTTTTCAGGACTATAACTCTATAATAGAGCTTGAAATCAGAGATGGTGATGCCTCTGGAAGTTCCTTTACTGTACAGAGTTGTTTTGTCTTTTGTTTCTCCATATAAAGTTGAGTATTGTTCTTTCAAGGTCTGTGAAGAATTGTGCTGGTATTTTGATGGGTATTGCATTGAATCTGTACATTGCTTTTGGCAAGATTGGCATTTTTACTATGTTGATCCTACCTATCCAAGAACATGGGAGATCTTTCCATTTTCTGGTATCATCTTTAATTTCTTTCTTTAAAGACTCAAAGTTCTTGCTATATAGGTTTTTCACTTGTTTGGTTAGTGTTACCCCAAGATATTTTATGTGGCTATTGTAAAGGGTGATGTTTCTCTGATTTCTTTCTCAGCCCTCTTATCATCTGTATACAGTAGGGCTACTGATTTTTTGTGTTAATCTTGTATCCTGCCACTTTGCTAAATGTGTTTACCAGTTGTAGGAATTCCCTGGTAGAGTTTTTCAGGTCACTTTTGTAAATTATCCTACCATCTGCAAACAGGGAAGTTTAACTTCTTCCTTTCCAATTTGTATCCCCTTGATCTCCTTTTGTTGTCTTATTGCTCTAGCTAACATTTCAAGTATGATATTGAAGAGATATGGAGAGGGGACAGGCTTGTCTTATTCCTGATTTTAGAGGAATCACGCTGAGTTCTCTCCATTTAGTTTGATGTTGGCTGTTTTACTGCATGTTGCTTTTATTAATGGCAGCCCATAGATTGGGCAAAGATACTCATCAAACCCATATCTGACAGAGGGCTGATCTCCAAAATTTACAAAGAACTCAAAAAGCTAGTTTTCAAACCACCTAATAATCTAATTAAAAAGTGGGGTACAGAACTAAATAGAGAATTCTCAACAGAGGAATCCAAAATGGCTGAAAGACACATAAGAAAGTGCTCAACATTCTTAGCCATCAGGGAAATGCAAATCAAAACAACTCTGAGATATCATCTTACTCCAGTCATAATGGCTAAATTAAAAAACACCAATGATAACTTATGCTGGAGAGGATGCAGAGAAAGGGGAACACTCCTCCACTGCTGGTGGGCATGCCAACTTGTACAGCCACTTTGGAAATCAGTATGGCAATTCCTCAAGAAAATTGGAACCAGATTACCATAAGATCCAGCAATTCCACTCTTAGGCATATACCCAAAAGAAACACATTCATACAACAAGGACATCTATTCAATGATGTTCATAGCAGATATTTGTAATAGCCAGAACCTGGAAACAACCTAGATGCCCCTCAACTGAAGAATGGATACAGAAAATGTGGCACATTTACAACATGGAGTACTACTCAGCAGAAAAAAATGGAATCTTTAAATTTACAGGCAAATGGATGGAACTAGAAGAAACCATTCTGATCCAGGTAACCCAGTCACAAAAAGACAAACATGATATGCACTCAATCATATATGGATTTTACACATAGAGCAAAGGACTACCATCCTATAATCCACACCACAAGAGAAGCTAGGCAACAAGGAGTACTCTAAAAGAGACATACATGGTCCCCCAGAGAAGGGGAAAGGGACAAGATCTCCTGAGCAAATTGGGAGCATAGGGGGAAGGGAGCAGGAACTAGGAGAATGAGAAGGGGAGAAGAGGAGAGGCGAGGAGGACATAAGTGAGCAGGAAGGTTGTGTAGGGGAAGAATAGAGGAGAGCAAAATAAAAGATACCATCAAAGAGGGAGCCAGTATAGGTTTAAAGTGAAATCGGGCACTAGGGAAGTGTCCAGAGATCTACAAGGATGACACCAACTAACCATCTAAGCAACAGTGGAAAGGCTACATTAAATACCCTCTCCTGGTAACGAGATTGATGACTAACTTACATACCATCCTAGAGCCTTCATCCAGCAGCTGATAGAAGTAGAAGCAGATACCCACAGCTAAACACTGAACTGAACTGGAATCCAGTTGCAGAGAAGGAGGAGTGATGAGCAAAGGGGGCAAGACCACCCAGAGGAAACCCACAGAAACAGCTGACCTGAACAAGAGGGAGCTCTTGGCCCCCAGACTGATCACTGGGAAACCAGCATGGGACTGATCCAGACCCCATAAATGTGGGTGTCAGTGAGGAGGCCTCAGAAATCTATGGGGCCTCTTGTAGTAGATCAGAACTTATCCCTACTGTAGGAATGGATTTTGGGATCCCATTTCACATAGAGGGAAACTCCCTCAGCCTAGACACAAGGGGGAGGGCCTAGGCCCTATCCCAAAGGATATGTCAGACTCTGAAGACCCCCCATGGAAGGTCTCACTCTTCCTGGGGAGCAGAAATGGTATTAGATAGGTAGGGTGTTAGTGGGGGGCAGGGTCGGAGGGGAGGGAGTGGCAATGGGGATTGACATGTAAAACAATCTTGTTTCTAATTTAAATTAAAAAATTTAAAAAAGAAAGAAATGTAATTGGCAAATATGTCACCTATTCCACCCCACAGGTTTTAGCCTAAGGAAGTCCCCAGCTTGAGCTGGCTTGCCTGTCCATTTATCAATATAGGGAGCAGAGGGAGCCAAGTAAAGAGAGCTTGTAGGGAAAGAGAGGAAAGGACAGGAGGGAAGAGGAGGGGAGAGGAGGGGGGGGGAGGGGGGGGGAGGGGAGAGGAGAGGGGAGGAGAGGGGAGGAGGGAGAGGGAGAGAGAGGCAGAGAGAGAGAGCATTGCCTCTTCTTAGAGGAGAGTTTTACCTCCACAGCTTCCTCACTTTTTAATTATCATAAATCTATATATTTTATAAGACTTATCTTATCGGACACCTTATTGGCGTCCCTCCTTGTCGGTGGATCACATCTTGCCACTGGAGGAGGCGAACGGGAAAAAAGGGCCCTTCCTGATTCTCCTTCGCTTAAATACACTTCCTGCCTGGATCAGCACTTCTCTACTACATTTCCCAGAATCCTCTTTGACTCCTAGTTCCGTCTAACTTGCAGTCTCATTGGCCAAACAGTATTTTATTTAACAATCAATAAGATAAACATACACAGTACATTCCCCATCATCTCCTCTTTTCTATCTAAATAAAAAGAAGGAAGGGTAACTTATCTTTTATAATAACTGAAGAAAACTATAACCATACTATCTGTCTTTAACTCTATCAAAGACCACAGAAGGATAATATATAAACTCTAGAATTGACAGAGACATCCGCTGCCTGGACAGTCATTCAAAGTTCCTCTGTAACTAACATTGGGGCATCCATCTTCAGCCCATAGGCCACAGTGTGTCTGGCACACTTCTCTATTTTAACAGGAACCCTTTAGTACTGTCATTTTCTTGTGGGTCCTGCATGTCCAGTTTATACAGCAACAAACAGTCCAGGCAAGAGCAGTTTCTTGCCCAAATGGCTAAATTTGCCTTGTTGAAAGCAAACTCCATAACAAGTTTCTTCGATGCCCATCTTTCTTTCAGACATAATTGGTGTGCCAGGAGCAGTTGTGCCTCACTGCCAAGATAAACCCTAAACCATTTAAATGCCATATTTCTGTAGGTCTTTGAAAGGTTTGAAGAATACCTATCCATCTCAAATACATCTCTGTATATCTAGAAAACCTAACTAACCTAATTATAAGTTCTGACTATTATAGGTAAAAGATCTGTATAAACACAATACCTAAACAAGAGGAGACATGTACATATCACAAAATTGACCTTAAAGTTGTATCGATAAATGAAAATCTATACCAATGCAAAGTATTCATTTCTATATCCTATTCCTTTTCTTTCTTTAAAAAGAAGGGAGGGGAGGGGAGGGGAGATTTTGGGAGGGTGGGGAGAGGAGAGGAGAGGAGAGGAGAGGAGAGGAGAGGAGAGGAGAAAGACTTTTTGGTGTTAAAAAGGAATGCTTGAGGTTTTTCCAATGTACTGAATTATGGGCAAACCACACTGCCTTAGGTAATCATGCAATTTGTCCTTCACAAAGTAGTTTTGTATTTGTAGCATGTCCCATGGTGATGCATTATGCATGGTGGCATCCTGAGAGGCAAGAGACACGACAAGGAATTTCACTCGCCACTCACCAGCTTTGACACACTTTCCTCCATCTCCACCCACAAGTAGCAAACACTGCAGAAAAAAAAAACACATTTAAAGGCATGCACAAGGATTTCAATCCCATTTCTGAAAATAGACAATCAACTTACCCAAACACAGCATGGTATAAAATTATATGATATCCCAAACAACCACAGCCAGAGGAAGTCAAAGCAATAAACACAACTTGGTGCCAATAAAGGGGAAATCCCAACAACTGATGTTGTCTCACTGAGGAACATGTGCCATGGTCACTCCATACCAACTGCTCTGATTCTACCAGGGCCAGTCACATGTTGTGCTCTGCGTTTGCTTTTGAAATTGGCTCTGATGCCAAAAGGATCTTAACTGGGAAATGTCCTCATGACCCAACTTATGAAGACATTCTGACATATGCATTTTCACCATTATTCTCACCTGCATCAGAAATCTATTTGCCATCCAAAAAGTAGCCACAGCTGTCCCTGGAATTTCATGCTGAGGGCTCTGGTCTGATGGTTTTCCTAGGACATTGCTTTAAGAGATGGACCCTGGCACAGCATGGAATTACTGTAAAATAATTTACTACTATCATCTTTAAGGAAAACTCTTTTCTACATGCATTCTTCTCAGCAACTTGAGCAAAACAAACAAACAAAACCAGCAGACTTCTATTTATAACATTAACCTCTTCAGTGGGTGTTATTGTTAGCCATAATATTTCTCATAGACACCACTATACATAGGAGTATATGGTGGAGGAAAATGCCTTCCGCAAATGTTGCCCCAAAATATGTGAAAGGGCATCAATGAACATTAAATCTATGCTAAAGAAAATCTTGTTTTACTAGCTTAGTTGTAGTGTGGACTTAAGACACAGTGGGATAATTTTAAACTATGTGATCGCCCCCTAGTGGTCAACAGGTCAGTTGCTGAGCAGACAGCCTACTTCCTTTAGTTTTACTGAAAAATTGCTGTGCTGTTTAGCCAGATATTGATAGTTTATGTTGTAATTTTTCTGGAGACATGTTTTTAATAATTTTTAAAATGCATCTAGATGTATGTGAAGCTACCTAGCAATGTACAGCTATCCAATATGCTCATGTGTAAACAATAAGAAATCAATCAATGGAATGAAACTTAGTAACATACTTTTTCTTTTAGAACAATGCCTCAATTAAGATGAGGGGATGTGTCAAAGAGTTAACAACTAAACTTCTGTACCTTACACAAATTATTATTTATGTTTCCAAATACTCAGAATTATAGGTCATTAAGAAATACCACTGAGTCATAACAATCATCTCATGTCACATGGAGCTATACCAAAATCACTGCAGAGTAATGTTAGCCTGACAGTTCCCAGGCTTCATGACCTTCAGAGTGACATTAATGTCTTTTTCAAAGATGGAGAATGAATAATGGGGATGTTGACCTGACGAATGACCGATACAGTATGGTAGGAGGAAACCTTGTCATCAACAACCCTGACAAGCAGAAAGATGCTGGGATCTACTACTGCTTGGCATCAAATAACTATGGCATGGTCAGAAGCACTGAGGCGACCCTGAGTTTTGGATGTAAGTAATCACAACTTTTCTAAAGGGTGCGTTTATTTGTGCGAGATGAAATTACATGTGTCTTAATTGCTGATAAAGTTCTATATAAATTGGGGGTTTGATTCTCTGATGGTTAACTATCTCTGTTTTTCTCTTCCATTAAAATTAAAATTACTTCTCCTATATAGACTGTTCAGAGGTAAAGTATATTAACTACTCTTCCAGAGGCACCAAGTTCAGTTCCCAACACCCATGTTGAGTGGCTCACAACCTCTTGAAACTCCAGCCTCATGGAATACAGTGCCTTCTCTCTTCTGGCTTCCATGTGTAGAAAACACACACACACACACACACACACACACACAACTATCACACACACAACTATCACACACACATATGCACAAATGCACACATATAAGTACAATTAAAAATCTTATCCCTATGAATATGGACCCTTCTACCTTATCATTCCAACCAAAGTAGCGACACTGTGTGGTTCATTAAAGAAGTCATGTCACTTGCTCATCTACAGGTGGCAGGTTGTTGTTGGTAAGACAAATAACACACTTGTGAACATTCCAATTAAAATGTGGCGATTCTGAGTGACTGTCAAGACATATCAGAAAATACAACCATTAAGAGTTCTGCAAAGAGAAAAAAAAACAAGAAAACAGGCTACTGGCAAGATGTGCCATAGAGGAAATGCAATGTACAGGGTAGTGGGATTTGCATGGTAAGTTCAGCAGAGGCACAGTGCTATGAATGCTGTAAAGATAATGTAAAGGAAATTAGGACCACATTCTAAAGAATCTTGAATGGTTCTGTGAAATCTATCATCAGTGAATTGATGCCAGCATGAAAGCCCCTATGGGGTGAGAATTATCTATTAGGAGAGAAAATATCTGAGATGTATTGTGCTCTGTGCCTCTCCTCAGCACCACCCCCCTCCCTGAAAATATCTGGCTTTTCTGTAGGCTGAAATTAATTAAACTGTATTCTAACTAGTTGATTATCTTAAATTTGAATTAAGACACTTTTTAATGGGGGCCAATAATGGAAAACATTTCAAAAAATACTTGCTAAAAATAAAAGTTAGAGTTTGTTCTAAAGGACACCACTATATTGGAAGGGGAGCTGATTACAGTAATTAATCTCCATTTTGTGATTTATGTCATGTTTTTAATATTTGGTAGATATATTACAGGATGAAAACAATGTTTCAAGAAAGCAGATCAATCACTGGGAAGGGTGAGACAGGTCAAGAAACGATAATATTAAAGCAAAGATAATTGTAGATAAAACACATCATACTTAAAGAAACAAATCAGTACTTGCACTGCACTATTTTTTTTTTTTAATTTTCAAAGAAAGTCAACTTAAAAGGCAAAACCACTCTCCCATTACTGCAGTAGAATGAAAGCTAGGAAAATGACTTTAAGATGGGACTAAGCATATGAGTTTCTGTTCCATGACCAGAGATTAACAGAACTTTGCCAAGTTTAATTAAATGTCAAATGAGCAGGTAAGGCTGGAAAAGGCACTCAGATGTCATTAGTATCCTGAGTCCAGAGATGTGGCTTTGAGCTTTCCTCTGGAACAATATAACAGTGAGAGCACATGGGTTTCCAGGGGCAGACAGTGTGTTTAGGGGAGTAAAAAGTAGGTATAGTTTGGGTGTGGGTCACAAATGAAGAGAGGCAGAAACTAAACAACCAATATGGGGACGGGGGGAGGAAGAACCAAAGTACTTTAGGATCAAGAAATCAAGAAAAATAAAGAGTTTTTAACACAGAGGTGAAAGAAAAAGAGGTGGGGGGATGGATCACTTTCCCGTTATCCAACTGAGGTCCATTCCTCAGCTCTTTTCACTGAGTATCAAGTACCTTCAGGAAGAGAAGGAATGCACACCTGCCATTCCTCTTTAGCCTGCAGCTCTCGGGCTTTGGCTGACCTCGCTGTATTTCCTCATGGAGACTCTCCCTAACCTGAAAGGAACATTTTTAGGTTAGCTGGAACCTTCATGGTTGTCAGAATTGTGCAGGCTGCTGAGAGTCCGTGATGGAACTAGATGGCATGCACAAATCCATCTATGAAAACAAGTTGCTTTGCACAGGTGTCCAGGGCCAGCTGCGCTCTGCCATGTCACACAAATAAGTCACCAAAAGATCACACTTAACAAATATCTCTTTCTCTTGAGCAGAGTGAACATTTCCCTTTTCCCTTTTGAAATCAGATCTCGACCCCTTTCCTCCCGAGGAGCGTCCGGAGGTGAAAGTGAAGGAAGGGAAGGGCATGGTGCTTCTCTGCGACCCTCCGTACCACTTTCCAGGTAAATGGAGTTGCTCTGACCATAGACACCTGGGGAATTAAATGAGGACAGCTGAACACTCTAGTAACAATAATATGCTAATAATTACTTAATTTATCTAACAATCATGGCCCATCATTCATTTAATGACACTCATTCTTTGCATTTGTTGTGTGAACCTTTCCTGGGAAGAAAAACATCCCACCATGGACAGGACACTAACATAATAAAAAAGATTCCTCCCAAGACTAGCTTGGTTAACCAGAGAGTTTAACTAGTATCCCTTACAGGAACATGAGAGAATGTTGTTTACATCAGCCTGGGCAACTTGAGAACAGCTACACCACTGAAGACAATATCTTTCCTCCAGCAGCCACTAACTTCCTGTAAGATAATTATATGTTGGGAAGGACTGGAACTTGTGAGCCCTGCCCCTAGCACATTAAGTTTATCGGCCCCAAGCAGATATCATGAAGATAAGCCCAGCCACTGAGAGTTCATTAGAATACTGGTTGACTATGCCATGCCCATAGGACAGCCTTCCACAATAGCATCACTTTGCGGTCATTACTTACAAATGGTTGTAGATACTTTGCTATATGGGTTCATTAGTCACTTGGCCTTATTCCTAAGGCTTTTCTAGTCATTTCAGTTTATAAACAATAAGTAGGTTGGATTTGTGCTTATTAAAGTTCCTATCACATAAGAGAAATTGTGGAAGATAATTCCAGAAATCATGTTAAATATTCAGAAATAGAACGGCACTAAGGAATGATGTATGATCAATCAGTTTTTCAATTTAGTATCTGCAATATACTGTGAATTATAACTAAGCACTAGAAATGGATAAAGACATGATAAATTATTAATATCATTTGAGTCACTGATCTATGAGAAGAATTGTGCACTTCAGAAAGCATACAAAATTAAATCTCATCTGTTAAAACTTCAACTTGGACTACAAATTCCTTTCTTTTGATATGATTAAAATTAAGACTATCATAGCGTGTAGTCATAGTCTTGTTTTCATTTGTTTTACTTCTCCCCTGACAATGAAATGAATGTTTTATGCTCTTTATATATTTATTAAATGTGACTTAAAACATATCCATAGAAAATGAAATAAAACACTCTGCAATAATTTTGTGTGGAATGCAACAACTTTATATGTATTCATAGACATATACACATATGAATTTCACACAAAATTATACACATATATTACTTGTAAATTTTCACTATATGAAATTTCATATGCATATATGAAAATTATATATATACATATATATATTTCTAGTTGCTTATAAAATGTTGGTACTTTTCTTGGTACTGCAAGAAAGATAGTTATTTTGCTCACATATGGGGCATGTTTCCGGTGTTATAACAAGATTCTATCAGAGAATAGGTTTTTGCCCGAGGAACTGCCAAAACTATGAATAAATCCCTCTCCTCCTCATAGAATTTCCCATAAACAAGGCAATGGATGCCCATTGATTCCCTTTGTTTGCTCAACAATGGACAAGGAGCTCCATTGACTAAGAAAACCCCTGTGAGCACTTTCCCTCAACTAGATACTGTTCATTTCACAGGACACACCAGTAGGACAGAATAATCAAAACCAACAGTCCTCAGAGACCCTATGGTGTGACAGGAGTACTTAAAAGATACAAGATGAAACACAGGAAGAGGAAAGGTTAGGGGATAATTTAGATTTTAGAAAGCTCCTTGCTAGGAAGGGAATGTTACTAAAACCGTAAGGAAGGGAAGGAGTGTAGCTGGAGTTTCTTGTCCCGCCATGTCCCACTGCCACTTCGGCCCCAAATAAACACACAGAGGCATATAATAATTTATAAACTGTTAGCCGATAGCTAGGGCTTCTTATTAGCTAGCTCTGTCTTAATTATTAACCTATAACTACTAATCTATGTATTTCTACATGGCCTTATCTTACCAGAGGATGCCTGGCACATCCTATCTTCTTGGTCTCTACATGGCATCTCTCTTGGTCTCTCTCTGCCTACCTTTCTCAGAATTTTCCTCATCTCCTAGTCCCATCTATCTTCCTGCCTCTATTGGCCAAAAGGTGTTTTATTCATCAACCAATAAGAGAAACACACATTCAGAAGGATATCCCCCATCACAACTGAGATACTCCTCAATAGAAGAATGGATAAAGAAAATACAGTACATTTACACAATGGAGTATTACTCAGCACTAAAAAAAGACATCATGAAATTTTCAGGTAAATCTTAGAAGAAATTAAAAGCAGTCATCTCAAGTGAGGTAACCCAGACCCAAAAAGGCAAATATGTTTTGTACTCAATTATAAGGGGATATTAGCTGTAATGTAAAGGATAACAAGGCTACAATCCACAGACCCAGGGAAAATAGTTAACAAGGAGAGCCAGAAGAGGGACTCGTGAATTTCCCTAGGAAGGGGAAATAGATGAGATCTCATGGGTAAACTGGAAAGTGGGAGGGTGGAAACATAGGGATTGAGTTGAAAGTGTTAGTAGTACAGAAGGTGGAGAGTAATGAAAGATACATCTTGATAGAGGGTCCATTTTAGGGTTAGGGAGAAACCAGGTACCAGAAAAACTCCTAGGAATCCACAAGGATAACCCCAGCTAAGACTCCTAGTAATAGTGAAGATGGTGCCTGAATTGGCCCTCACCTGTAATCACACTGGAGACTACTCCAATTGTCATCAGAGAGCCTTCATCCAGTAACTAACGGAAGAAGATCCAGAGGTCAACAGCAGTTACTGGGCCACCAAATCCTGAAAGTTCTTTTCAAGAGAAGGAGGAGGGATTGTACTTGCTAAGGTAATCATGATCATGACAGGGTAACTTACAAAGAAAGCTGACATGAGCTCTTGGAAGCTCACAGACTTTGTACCTTACATCTAGGGAGCCTGAATGGGACAGACCTAAGCCCTCTGTATGTGGGTGGCAGTTGTGTAGCTTGGACTATTTGTGGGGCTCCTAGCAGTGTGATCAGAACATGTCCCTGGTGCTTTAGTTGACTTTTGGGAACCTATTCCCTATGATGGGTTACTTTACCCAGCCTTGGTGCAGTGGAAGGAGCTGGGTCCTGCCTCAACTTTGTATGCCATGCTTTGTTGACTACCGATGGAGACCTGCCCCTTTTTGAATGGAGACAGAGGAGTAGTAGATTTGGGAAGGGTTAGATAAGTGGTGGGGGGAGGAATATGAGGAAAGGAGGTAGGGAAAACCGTGGTAGGTATGTAAAATAAATGAAAAAATTTAATAATTTTTCCAAAGTAGAATTTACATAGAACATATAAGAATATTTATAAAGTCTTATACAGTATTTATCGACATCATTCATTCATTTTTAGAAAAGTATTTCTTTAAGGATCTATCCTTTGGTGTGATCTGTTTAACTCTACACCCCTACTCCCCATTTTGAGTGAGTCAATTTTCTTTTTAAATGAGTGATGCTTACTGACTTGCTCCCCAGAGCTTGCTTAGCCAGCTTTCTTATAGGACCCACCTGACCAGGGATGACACCACCCACGATTGACTGGCTCTTTCCCCATTAATAACTAAGAAAATGTACTACAGGATTGCCTGCAGCCTGGTCAAGTTGAGCAATTTTCTCAGTTGCAGCTCCCTCATTTCAGATGACTTTAGCTTGTCTCAAGTTGATATAAAACTAGCCAGAACATATGTGTTTCCTCCTAGGTCCAGGACCTAACTAATCTCAGGATTTAAGCAATTTTAAGTAGGGGAGTGGACCTTAAATCTAATTTTAAAAAGTGGTTGATTACTTCTATAATATTTGCACCAATATTTGCACCAGTGTATCTTGCAGGCAGGTCTCTGTTGTAGGTGGCAGGCTTTGTAGACAGGTGAGGCGGTGATTATTTGTCTCCTCCAGTAGTTTGTAAAGTGACTTCCAGCACCATAAATGCTAGTAAGTAGAGGTGAAGTCTAACTGGGCACAGTTTAATTTATCTGTATTCTATGAGCCTGTTGGGTATATACTGAAGAGTAGTATACAGGGATCTTCTGGTAGCTTGATTTTAAACTTTTTGAGGAAACTTCACACTGATTTCCATAGTGGTTGCACAAGTTTACACATATCCAACAGCAATAAGCAAGTGTTCCCCTTCCTCAACATTGCCACAAGAATGTGCTGTCATTTTTTTTAAAATTGTGATCATTTTCATGAGGGGGAGAGGAAATCTTGAATTATGTATCTGGTGGCCACAGTGTTGAACATGGCCTGGTTTTTTGTTTGTTTGTTTGTTTTGTTTTTTTTAAAATTGTGATCATTTTCATGAGGGGGAGAGGAAATCTTGAATTGTGTATCTGGTGGCCACAGTGTTGAACATGGCCTGGTTTTTCGTTTGTTTGTTTGTTTTGTTTTATTTAGTGTGTGTGTGTGTGTGTGTGTGTGTGTGTGTGTGTGTGTGTGTTCCTCAGCCATTTGTGCTTCAACATTTGAAGCTTCTTAGTTCTATACTGAAATTTTTAATTGGGTTATTTGCTTTCTTGGTGTTATATTTTGGGGATTTTTTTTTAGCTCTTTGTATATTCTAGAAACAAACCCTATATCAGTTGTACAATTGGAAAAGTTTTTTCTTATTCTGCAGGTTGCTACTTTGCTAGAATGACTGTGTCCTTTGCCATGGAGAAGCTTTTATGTTTCATGATATCTCATTTATTCATTATTGGTCTTAATGCCTATGCCATCTGTCCTCTGTTCAAAAAGTCTTTTATGTGTTTGGAGTTGATGTGCAAGGTGATAGATATGAATCTATTTTCTATTTGTTCTAAACACAGCCATCTTGTTTGACCAGTAATATTTGTTAAAGATGCTGTTTTCTCTAATTTATATTTTGGTTTCTTTGTAAAAAATCATGTATCTGTAGGTGTGTATAGTTAGTTCTGGTTCTTCAGTCCAATTCAGTTGATCAGCGTGTCTGTAGCTATGCCGAGAGCATGCTGGTTTTATTACTATAGCTCTGATGTGCTACTTGAAATCTGGGATGATGATACCCCCAGCATTTCCTTTATTATCTAGGATTATTTTCATTGTTCTGGACTTTTTCTATTTTTACATAAAATGTAAATTTTTTTGAAGATTGTGTTGAGTGGGATTCCATTAATGCTGTGTATTTCTTTTGGTGGGATAGCCATTTTCATAATTGGTAACCCATGAATATGGGATGTATTTTTGTCTTTTTCCATTTCTTTCTTTCGTGCCTTAAATGCTTGATTATACAAGTCTTTCACTTGTTTGGATGGAGTTAAATAGGAAAGATACTGATTTTTATGTGTTTATTTTATGTCCCACTGCTTTGCTGAAATTGTTTATCGGTTATGGAAGCTTCCTGGTGGACTTTTTAACATCTTTTATGTATAAAATAATATCATCTGCAAATAAGAATACTTTGACTTCTTCCTTATTTGTATCCCTAGCACTCTAACTAATGCTGCAAGTACTATATTGACTAGGTCTTGACCTAATTTTAATGGAAATGAATTGAACTCTCCATTTAGTTTGGTTTTTGTGTTGTCTTGCTCTACTTTACCTTTATTATGTTGTGGAATGTCCTGTGTATCCCCATTCTCTGTGGAGATTTTATCAGGAAAGTTTGTTAAACTTTGTCAATGACCTTTTCTGCATCTAATGAGATGCTCTCATGTGGGTTCTTTGTTCTTTATTTTGTTTATGTGGTTGATTATATTTATTGACTTACTATGTTGACTTTAGTTTGCAAGTATTTTGTTTAGAATGTTTTTTTCATCTGTGTTCATAAAGGTCCTTTTATTGGTTCTTTGTGTGGTTTTGGTGTCACAGTAATAGTAGTTTCATATAAAGAATAATCTTCTCTTCACATTGACATTTTCCATTTAGTTTCTTCTGTAGAATTGGATTAGTGTATATATAGAAATTGATTAAATTTGTTTTTGTCAAGAGTTGTTTTTCTTTTTCTATCAACTGTAAAAGATAGTTTTGTTAGATATAATACTCCAGGCCAGAATTTGTGATCTCAGAGTTTGTAGATCATCCAGCCAGGTCCATCTAGTTTTCAGAGTCTCCACTGAAAAATCAGGTGTTATTCTTAAGGTACTGTCTTTATATTTGACTTGACCTTTTCAGCTTGTAGCTTTTAATATCTTTTCTTTGCTCTGTCCATTTAGTGTATTTGATGTTTATGTGTTGTGGGCAGCTTCTTTACTGGTCCTATTAGGCATTCTGCATGCCTGTCATTACTTGTAGAAATTTATTTCTTTAGCTCTGGGAAATTTTCTTTTATGGGTATATATGCATATATGTATATTATATATAAATATAATGCTTTGACCTGGGTTTCTTCTCTATATCTATTATTTGTAGATTTTGTCTTTTCATACTATCCCAGAGGATATTATTCTATTCTAGAGGTTTTATACCTTGAGTTTTTTGTTGTTGTTTAACACTTAGCATTTTCTTTCACTGAGCTATCCATTTCCTCTGTCTTATCTTCCATACTCAAAAACCTCTTCCATGTCTTGAGCTCCATTGGTAAGGCTGAGCTCTGAGATTTTTTGTTTGATATGCAGTTCTTTTATTTTAGTTTGAATTCTTTTAGTGATTCTATTTTTTGTTTGTTAAATTCTACTTTCATGTTTTGAATTGTTTTAATTATTTTATTCAACTGTGTTTTCATGGTCTTCATAAAGGCATTTATTCACATCCTCTTTAAGGTCACTGGAACATATTCATAGTTAGTATTTTTGAAGTCCCTTTTTAATGTCCTTCAGTTAAATTGCTTTTCTTAGGGCATATTACAATATGGCTGCTGACTTGTGGAGAAGGCGTATTGTATTGTCTTGATTGCTCATCTTTGTGTTTTGGGGTTGGGATATAAGCATCTGCAGTTACCATGTTTGAAGTAATTTTTGAAATAGACATCCACTCTTGTCTTGGTTATCTATAGCTTACTATGGGTCCTATCAATGTGGGCTGCTGTGGAATCTCTGATTCTCAGGCAAGAAAAGTGTCTGTGTGGTTCCTGGTTAGAGTGATTCTGTGGTTCCATCCAGAGTCACAAAGGAATGGAGATGCACTAGAAGATTTGGCAAAAGGGGAAGTGCAAAAGATCTACGGGGACCTTGGACCCTGAGTCCTAATATTTAAGAAAACCAGGAGCATGCTTTTCTTCTATTTGTGTAGTTTTAATTGTTTAATATAGCAATACATTATATATATATATTTCATTTAAATAGGAGCAATGAAACAAGGAGATCTAGGCTATAAACTGAGTTGCCTTGAGATTATTTGTGAATTGGAGTAGGAAAGATAGACTATAAGCTGTGTAGCTGTCAGTTCTATTTTAACAGTTATGAACACTCTGTGAAAATTGTTTAACCCAAGTTTCAATTAATCCATCAATGAAATGGGAGCAAGAATGTTGAGACTCTTGAAAGTACTAGTGATAGATGATTGATAGATACAGAAAGATAGATTTAATTATTTACTATGACAATTATATTCTTAAAATATGGTAGTTATGAGAAAATGTCTTCTGTATCAACTTCCAATATTTATTGATATATAAATGACAGACTGCATGCTGGCTTGTAACTAAGAAGCATAATATTTACTTTCAGAGAAGAGTTTAATATTTAGTGGACAATATTTTCTTCTAGATGACCTTAGCTACCGCTGGCTCCTCAATGAATTTCCTGTATTTATCACAATGGACAAACGAAGATTTGTGTCTCAGACCAATGGCAATCTCTACATTGCAAATGTTGAGGCTTCTGATAGAGGCAACTACTCCTGCTTTGTGTCCAGTCCTTCTATTACAAAAAGTGTGTTCAGCAAGTTTATCCCCCTCATCCCAATACCTGAACGTAAGTGTTTTGTTTGTTATACTGTTTTTACAAAGTTATCTGCTTATAGTACATTTATAATAATGATCCATTGTCTTCCTGGGGAGGGCAGCACATAGTGGATGGGGGATAGAAGACTTAGTCTTTACCTTCTGAAGTTGGTTTTTATTCAATATACTCTAAAATGGTTGACTTCATATTCAGTGCTTCTAGCTTAGGAAATATGTGGAGAGTAGAGTCATTAGTTCAGGGTTCCTACAGAATTACCATGGGAATGTCTGGAATCTGCTTTTTGTTTCATGACCATTTCTACTTAGTAGTAAATTTTTAATGAGACTAAATACTTAGGTCAATTTTTTTAAAGTGATCATGTAATTAGAAAAAAAATATTGATTGTTTTAAGGAACTATTTACATGGTATAAATTAATGTAAATAATGGCTATTTCTGCTTCAAGTAATTAACATATATTACTGTGACCTGTGTGCTGAGGTCATACTCTACCTCCATTTAAAAATTCTGTTTGCTCCATCTCTTCCCGGCAGCAAGTGCCAAGGTGCCACTTGTTATGTTTTTTAAGAAAAAGAGAAAAAGAAGAAGAAGGCAAGATGAGACATATTGACTAGTTGCTACATTAGGAGTAGTGAGTGCACACTTCAAAAGTGTTTGCTCCATCTCTTCCCGGCAGCAAGTGCCAAGGTGCCACTTGTTATATTTTTGAAGAAAAAGAGAAAAAGAGGAAGAAGGCAAGATGAGACATATTGACTAGTTTATTATAGGCCTGGCAGAGTAGGGAGACTAAGAGAGAAGAGAAACAGGGGAAATGGATGACCACCATGGCCAGGCGCCATAGAGAGGCAGAGAGAGCTAAGAGCAGATCGGAGAGTAGAGAGTAAAGAGTAAAGAGACTGAGCAGCAGGGAAGTTGGGACTTTTAAAGGGAAGACTGTGCATGCACACTGAGGTTCCACGCATGTCCAGAATCCTCAGCAGGCCATAATGCATGGCGGTGAGGTGGTGATGACATAGCACGTTTTCCTGTGCGTGCCCTGACTGTTGTCAGGGGGCAGGGTCTGTCTCTTAAAGAGGTATTGCCGATCAGTATTAAAGCCTGAACTTTTCACCACTGGTATTCCATCTTCATTTCCCTCGTAAGGAAAGAGTCACACAACTGATATTCAAAAACTGTGCCCTGACTGTTGTCAGGGGGCAGGGTCTGTCTCTTAAAGAGATATTGCCAATCAGTATTAAAGCCTGAACTTTTCACCACTGGCATTCTATCTTCATTTCCCTCATAAGGAAAGAGTCACACAATTGATATTCAAAAACTCTTGACTTTCTGACTCATCTGCTCTGACCTCACTGTTTCACAAGGTTAAATGTGGCCTCTGGAAAGGGGCCTTGTTGACCTTTGCTACTCTGTTTCACAAATGTACTTCCCCTCCATCTTCTACACATCCTCTTGCTGTCTTGATGGTGGACAGATTTCATCTTCTACAGCCAATCCCTTCAGTTGCTCTGTCTCACAGGCCGTTTGGATCAGGGCTTCACCAAATCACTTACTTCTTTTCCTTTACTCTCTCAGAATTCCATCTTCTCACTCTGCATGTTCGTTCCTCTTCAGTGAAGGCCATCTGGAATAATCATATGAAACTCACATTTATTCAATCAAAAGATAGTTTTCGCCGGGCGTTGGTGAATGCCTTTAATCCCAGCACTTTGGAGGCAGAGGCAGGCTAATGGCTTTGAGTTCGAGGCTAGCATGGTCTACAGAGCGTTTAGGCTCCAAAGCTTCACAGAGAAACCCTGTCTCGAAAAACTAAACGAAGAAACAAAAGGATAGTTTTCAGCCCCCATTTTCCATTTTTTATTTTCAGTATTTGACAGTTTTTGTCTGCCTCTCACAGATTTCCTTCTCTTTCCTCAAGGCTCACCTCCCTCCTCTGGCAAGTCTTATACAGCTTGAATCACCAGATGCTCCTCTTTCTCATATTTCTCTCCAGTGTTTTTTTCTAGCTATTCTCACTAAATTACATATTTTCAGTCGTGGTCATGTGAATGGATATAAATTCACATCTCTAATTTTTTTTTT